TCTAACTGACACTCTGCGCTCAAAACTTCCTCGTATAATGCCTGCATATTCGATGTAAGCTCACTAGAAAGCCTTACAACAACCGGTCACATAAGCAATCGGATGCCAACTCGATTAACAGAAGGATAGATCTACCGGCGCCATACGAGGCTGTTAAACATCACCTAGGTAAGAAGAACGGACCAATGAGAGCAGACCCTGACGGACCTATCAGGAGTTAATAAGAAAAGAGCTTATTTAAACCATGTATTTCCCATTTTTCCTTATCTCCGATGATGTGCTCAAGAACGAGTGTGAAACGTCAGACGATGCATATACCATCCTCCCCAGAAATCACCTTACGTTCTTCCAAGTTAAATTCTGTATACAACGAGTTTCGAATTGCCGTGGTTCATTGCTTCAAACATTTTAAGATACAAACCCTGGACTTGTTTTAGCGCTGTACGTGTCCGATCTGGTAGTTTAACACTAATAAAGCACGGGCATATACTTTACCGTATTTAGTTTGTTAGCTTTTCAGTCCACCTTGCCTACCGAATGCGTTAGAAGAAAAGATCTTAACCGCAGGTTCGACTGTTTGTCTCAGATTTTTGTGATGGTTGCGTGGCAAGGCAAATCTCAGTGCAACCTCCGGCACATCTCAGTACAACCCGGTGGGTCTCCTGATCTAGCAAGGGCTACCAGCCAGCCAACCATCGGGCGAAAGTCAATTCACCTTCTCACTACTATTGCCTTGCTTGCGTGTGTCTGTCCTGGAGCTTTTTTCGGTCTTGTCCGTGACTCCGCCTCCTGACCTCACGATTGTCAGACCAGCGTAATAAATGGCCGATTAATGAGTGCACATGATGCACCAGTGGGCGGGGAATTCTTGGCCGTTTAGCTACCCTAGTTCACGCATTGTTAGGACGTCTCCGATGTCTATTTATGGGTGTAAAAGAATATTCTTGGTCGGCACGAGGTTGGACGAATTCGATGGCTTGCCCTCTGAAAATACCAAGTCAGAATTGCAAAATGTTGGGCTAATATGCGTCGTAAGGTTCCGGATTTTTTGTAGTTTTGAAGTTCTACCCCCTAATTTGATTTATGGGAAAAAAAGTAGAGGTCCTTTAGGAACCTCTTCTTCTGAAATTCGGAAAATTTTGGGACATCTTACTCTTAGTTGGTGCCTCCTTTTATTCTCCTAACTGCCATGCACTTGTTCGTGTAGATAAAAAGAGAGGACTCCGTGGAGACGTTGCGGAAGCTGTTGGCAGACGCATCCG